AGAAAACAGCAGGGAAGTGTTTGCACAAGAGATGGGACAGGGAGTGCCTGGGAGGGAAGGATACAGGGAAGAGGTAACTATGGAGAGGAAGTGGGAAGAGAGCTATTACATTGTGGGGAATTGCAGTCAATGTCCTAAAACAAAATGTGTAAGAACCTGTATGGAAAATGAATTTGGAAACTTTCACCCGAAAAGAATAATAAACCAAACCAAACCATTCCCCCACCAAAATGAAAGGATGATGGATGGGTTTGTGTTTTGGTTTTGGCTTTGTTTATTGTTATGTGCCATCGAGTCAGACCCAACTCATAACGACCCCTCCTTGGGTTTCCCAGGCAGTATCACTACGGAAGTAGAGTGCCCAACCTTCCTTCCAAGGAGTGGCTGGTGGGTTTGAACCGTCAGCCTCCTGGTTAGCAGTCAAGTACCTTATGCACTATGCTACCAGAGCTCCCTAGTAAATGGGAAGTTTAGAGGTATGTGTATTGCTAGAAAAGGGTTATCAGGCTTGTGGGGAGGCACATCAGGAACTATGTTTTGAACTGATAAAGTTAGAAAGGACTGTAAAACATTCATTTGGGAGATGTTGGGTGGGCAGTTCATTGTACTTCTCTCATGGCACTGAATGCAGCTGCTGTGTGTATGCCCGTACTCCTCTCAATCAAATTCTTTGGGGATCTGTACCTCACCTAGTTCATCTTTGTATCCCCTACCCTACCTTGTATATGTTGTTGTTGTTGTGTGCTGTTGAGTCAGACCTGACCCATAGTGACCCCTCCTTGGGTTTCCGAGGCAGTATCACTATGGAAGTAGATTGCCCCATCTTCCTTCCAGGGACTATATAGACAGCAATAAACATTTACTAAGTGCATAGGTGGGAATATAAACTTGCATTGGTGATCTGCTATGCTTGGCATTCTGCTCAGCAGGATGAGGTACATGGTGAAAGGGAGAATGGGTTTTGAAGCCCTTTCTTTGCACTTCTGTGAGCCCTGGTAGCTCAGTAGTTAAAGCACTCAGCTGCCAACCAAAGGTCAACTGTTCAAACCCACTAGCCCCACAAATGGAGAAAGATGTGACAGTCTGCTTCCATAAAAATGTACAGCTTGGGGCAGTTCTACTCTGTCCTGTAGGGTCACTATGAGTTGGAATCCACCATATGGCATGGGCTTTTTGTTTTTTTCTTGGCATTTTCTTAGAAGTGGAGTGCATTAGAATCAGCTGGGTTGTTGGTTTAAAATGCATATTGGTGGAATGTGGTGATTCTGCTGTTTGGCAAAATTGAGAAGTACTTAGCTCAATCTGCCCAGAGCCTGTGTTGCCATTTCTTTTGGTGCTTTATGGGTTTCTGTCTCTTTGTATGCTTCGTATTCTTCTTTCAATTCTCCTCTCTAAACAGAGATTCCTTACTGCTTTTTCTACTAACTAGTGGTATCTGAGACTTGAGCTAACATCTTTCCTCTCCTCCTTTAGGAGAAAGTTGGACTTTGTGTTTGAAGGCTTTTGGGGTCCTAGTTCAAGTTTTCTTTTCTTTTTCTATTTTGCAGTCCCATGAGCGGGTAAGCAAGCGGCTACATCAGAGGTTCCAGGCATGGGTAGATAAATGGACCAAGGAGAACGTGCCCCGTGAAATGGCAGCAGAGACCAGCAAGTGGCTCATGGGTGAGGGGCTGGAGGGCCTGGTGCCCTGTACCACCACCTGTGACACAGAGACCCTGCATTTTGTGAGCATTAACAAATACCGTGTCAAATACGGCACAGTATTCAAAGCCCCATAACTGCAGAGCCAGAGCAGATAACTTGAGGGGGGAGTGTGTGTGTGGGCATGTGTGCTCAGACGCACTGGAAAAACAAGGAAGATGCCTTTTGAGCCTCACTGGGCCTCTCTGGGACATGGCCACCTGATGTGTGTGTGGCTGGTGCAACCTGGTACCAAGTGGGCTACATACAAGGAACGTGGATACCTTCCAAAGCCGGAGTTGGAACTTTTCCTAAGGGGTTTTAGGCACTCCCTGCCCTGGAGGGGAACGAAGTCCATGCAAGCACAGAGACATGCTGCTTGCTGGCACAAACCAGCAGAGCTAAGACTGGAATCTCCTGTGGCCTGACCGGATGGGAGTACATTTACAGAACAGACTGGGGAAGGACTTAAAGCTCAAATGGATTGTAACTGTGATGGTTACTGCTCCTTCCCCTCCCCCCCAAAAGGAGAAAAACAAACTGGATTTTTTATTTTCATTTTTTTCCTGGTCACTCAAATCTAGATGAACCATTAGGTTTTATCTGGGACCTGCAGTTTGGCTTTGGGATTGATCATCTTATGGATTTGATTCCTGACGAATCCTTTTGCTGCCCACCCTTTTCTCTCTCTGGTTCTCAACCTCAAGTTTAAATCAGTTGTCCTTTTTAGCTCCCGTGGAACTGTTTTGTACCTGCTTCTTTACTAGTCTGCCCTAGTGCCATCCACCAGCTTTACTCTCTGACATGCACACACACACACACACACACACAAATTTTAACTTTTTTTTTGTAAATAATGTACATACTGTCAATTTTTTATTAAAAGAAATATGCTTTGATGTGCTAGCATAACTGCTCTAGCTTCTTGTGTACCATAGTACTATGTGGCTTCAGATTTAGTACCTATGAACAGATGTACAAGACATTTATTACACTTTTTACCAAAGGGAGTTACTGTTGTAGTACTTTTGTGTAAAACTTGTCTTCTTCCCCCCAACTTTTTTTTTGTAAATAAATAAAGCTTGGTTCTTACTTAAGGAATAAATTCTCAGCCAAGTCCCTTGTCCTCACCAGAGAACTATTGTGAAGCAGGGATTTTTGGCTTCAGCTCCTTATCCAGGGTACAAATAGGATTTTGCTTTAAATAGTTAACAGTTACTTGCACTTATCCCAAATCAAGATAGTCCAAATTTTAAAAATAGAATACTTTATTCTTTTAGTACATGTCTCCCCTCACCACCTGTTCAACTGTTTGAAAATCCTTTATATTTGGGAAAGTTGTCAAGCTACATAGTTTGTATTTCTATATATTTTTTCTTATCCTTACTGGGAATAGGAGTAAACATCTTAAATACCAAACCAGTATTTGAAACAAGTGTGCATAAAGGTGTGTGGTCTAAATGGGGTTGGGAGGGAGAGAATTTGATACATTTCATTAGCAACTGGAAATGAGATATATATTTTTTAACTACATAAATTTAAACTGGCAGACATTTAACATGAATGATGAGGATTTTTATATGTGATCGGCCTGGACTTTCTGAACAAAGTCCAACTGAAGCTCCTCCCAGCACTCTGGTGAAATTTTCTTCAACAGCCATTGCCCTAGTCAGAGATAGAGTAACCAATAGTGTTTTGTGTTTGTTTTTGTTTTTTAATTAAAAATCGTCAACCAAACCCAATCCACTCGAGTTGAATCCCAACTCATAGCAACCCTATAGACAGTAGAATTGCCCCATAGGGTTTCCAACACTGTAAATCTTTGTGAGAGCAGAACGTCACATCTTTCTCCAGCAGATCCCCACCACCACCAACAAAGGGGGGAGGGGAATTGGTGCTTAGACTGCTCTCTAATTTTAGAGTTTTTTTTTAAAGTTTTCATGTAGGAAGACAGGACTATGAGCCCAAAAGTGTAGGATGGCAAGAAGAGCCAGCCACGTGGGAGGAGATTATGGGGTGAAGCTGGGGAAGTACCCAACCTGGGATGGAATGATGACTGTTATCTTCAGGTTTTCCCAGCAATAACTCACTTCTCCCCCTCTGATCCCTCTAGAAGGATCATGTTGACCTGGAACCTGCAGGAAGTTGTTGGGGCCTGGTGAGGGGCAGTGCCAGCTATTCCTGCCCCAGCACAGTGTTTTATCCAGACAGAGCACCTACTTGCAGGTCAGGATGGCGTTTCACAGCCAGTTCAAGAGAAAACCCCAACCCACCAGTGCAACCAGTAGAAGTAGCTTCATCTGTAGCCAGGGTTTTCACAGCATTTTCATCCCTCTTGCTGCCTGACATCTGAGCTCTAAGCTCTAATAAACCCAGCCTGTATTTTAGCAGAAAGTAATCATTATTTTAAATCACGTTTTGTATTCTGTACTTACCTTACCTTCTGTGATTTGCATTTGAGATGTTGTAAACTTGACTTGGTCAGTATTTCCATTAAAATATCAGGGCTAATGTTGTGTATATATTTTTCTTCCTAATGATTTTAAACAAGGATTCTCTGGCAAGCCCAGGAAAAAGAACATAAAGCCGCTAGTGGACTGCTACTGTGCTAGGGTAACCCGAGGATAAAATTTGAGGTCTGTTTCTAGCATATGGCTTCCCCTAGACTTAATCCTCTGTGGTGAAATGCATTCTATTGGGATCCTAAATGCTGTGACTGATGTGCCTCCTGAAGTCAAAATCTCCATCAGAGTTTCTGGTGATAAGTAAGTTAGGGATATACATAAAATATAACGTGTACAGAGAAAGCTTGAGATTACTGGGTTTCCAAGTCTAATAAGCTCTGTGAGCTCCCATCCCGGGCCACCTGAAGCAGATGTCAGTTTTCATGTTCATAGAGAGCCAGAGCCGGGGGTCAGGCTGGGCTGAGGGGAAGAAGGTTCCTGCTTACTGCTTCTGGGGTTGGGTGTGACCTGGCTGTACAGCCACAGAGGCTGCCCCTATTCCCCAGCACTGCCCTCCTGGAATCAAGTGCCTAATATGTCCCATGTCGTTGTCCCCACACCTTCGGGGATCTGAATGTCAGCTTCCCGTTCTAATAATAGAGAAACCAGCGGCCCACCAGCTCGGACGTGGCAGAGCAGGTCATCAAAGCCGCGGCCTTTAACTTTAGCCACCCACTTTCTCCCCACACCGATTCAAAGTTCAGAGCTGTTGTGCTTCCGAGAGCCCTCGGTGTTCCAAGAAAAGCTGCCCGGAGTTGGAAGGCGCTCTTCGGACTCCGGAACCTTTGGTTGCCAGCCGTAGACCGCGCCGGTAGCGCTGGTGGCCTTCCGGGGAGAGGGGTCGCCGCGCGGAGATGGCGGCAGCGAAGGCCCCAGCAGCGCCGGCTCTCAAGCACTGGCGCACCACGCTGGAGCGGGTGGAGAAGTTTGTTTCGCCGCTCTACTTTACCGACTGTAATCTCCGTGGCAGGTGCGCACCCTCTCCCAGGGAGCCAACTGACGGCACCTGCACGCCTCAGCCTTCTCTTCCGGGGGAAAACCTAATCTACAGACACCAGGGCCGCAGGATAAAGTGCCCGCCGGGAACTGGGCAGGAGACCCGGAGGGTATGGGGACGGTGTACTGCGGGACCCTTGGGCAGTCCTCCCCCGCAGTGGATCGAGGGAACGCGCGCCCTCAGCCACCGGCCGGCCCACTGGTGGAAAGGGGGCGGCCTGGAGCGCGCGCTCACCGACCCCTCCCACACAGACTCTTCAGGGACAGCTGTCCAGTGGCTCTCTCCTGCTTCTTGACGCCGGAGAGGCTTCCCTACCAGCAGGCAGTCCAGCAGGACTTCCGCCCGGCGCAGGTCGGCGACCACTTCGGACCCACGTGGGTAACGCCCAGAGGGAGGGCGGGACCCGTGGACCAAAAGGAAGGGCCCTTCTCGAGCCTTGCTAACCCATAGAAGCTCTGGGAACTCACCACCTGTAAGAGCCACACTCCACTGTCAAACTTCTCACAGCCCAGACAGCCCCTCTCAGGACAGAGCAGCACCCTGATCCCTGAGTCTTCCTGAGACAATTTTCATCTTCCTCTTTTTCCAGCCTCTGGACATCCTTAAGAAAGATCACCCAAGCACCAACCCCGTCCTTGACTTCTCTGCCTCTTGACTTCACTTGGCAGCCCGCTCCATTGCACCTTTCTTGTGGCTCAGAGCCCAGAGCACCTTATTATTTTCCAGATGCTAGGAGAAGGTCCCAAGCTCTTTGCTGACACTTAATTGAAGGAAGTATGGCAACATAAGGAGCTCTGGTAGCATAGTGCCTAAGGCACTTGACTGCTAACCGGAAGGCTGGTGGTTCAAACCCACCAGCCACTCCTCGGAAGGAAGATGGGGTAATTTACTTCCGTAGTGATACTGCCTCAGAAACCCAAGGAGGGGTCGCTATGAGTCGGGTCTGACTCGATGGCACATAACAACAACAACATGTCAACATAGGAACTCTGGTGGTGTAGTGCCTAAGGCATTTGACTGCTAACCAGAACACTGACAGTTCAAACCCACCAGCCACTCCTGGGAAGGAAGATTGGGCAATCTACATCCATAGAGATATATGACAGGGCAACAACTTCGCCCTCTAGGCACATCTCCATGGCTCTCTTGCAGATGGTGGACTTGTTGGTTCCGGGTGGAGCTGAACATCCCAGAGGCATGGATGGATCAGGAAATTCACCTTCGCTGGGAAAGTGATGGAGAAGGCCTGGTGTGGCGTGATGGAGAACCTGTTCAGGTGAGGAGCCCTGCCCCAGGGGCAGATATGGCCACATTTTAGCTCTGGTCTGTGGAGAAGTGACAGCTGAGTGATCCTGCCTGCAGGGCAGTGTCAAAATTTCAGGACTGCCACTTGTTTACCTGTGTAACTGGTTCCTCTCACACTGGGAAGTTGGATGAGAGGCTATGGGTCTCAACATAATTAGTGCTAAACCAACCCTATCCCAGATTGACTAGTTTCCCTATCTGGCTTGAAAATAGTTACGAATCAAGTACAGTAATAATAATTATGACAGATCCACATTATCTACCTCTAATAATGTCAGGTATAGGAGCTAATAATGTTTGGCATAGGAGCTCTGGTAACATAGTGCCTAAGGCACTTGACTGCTAACCAGAATGCTGGCGGTTCAAATCCACCAGCCACTCTCGGAAGGAAGGTTGGGCAATCCACTTCCGTAGTGATACTACCTCAGCAACCCAAGGAGGGGTTGCTATGAGTTGGGTCCGACTAGATGGCATCTAACAACAACAACAATAATGTCAGGTACCAGGCTAGAGGCTTTATAGACTATATCATTTTTTATTTTTTAATGACCTAGATTTTATTGTATATAATATATACTTTAGGGGAAATTTTTCAAACAGCTCTGGATGGTATAAAGTGAAATTTTTAAGTCCTGTTCCCCTAAAGTAGTGAATCTCTCCTCATCACCTCATCCCATTCCCCAGATATACCAAAAAACCAAACCCACTGCCATTAAGTCAATTCAAATTCAGAGGAGCCCCCATTGGGTTATCAAGGCTATAAATCTTTTTTTTTTTTTTTTAATTTTTATTGTGGTTTGGGTGAAAGTTTACAGAGCAAATTCATTTTCCATATAGCAGTTCACATACATTTTGTCTCATGACCAAAACCAAACCAAACCCACTGCCATCAAGTCGTTTCTGACTCATAGCGACCCTTCCTTGGGTTTCCAAGGCCATATCTCTATGGAATTAGATTGCCCAATCTTCCTTCTGAGGAGCTACTGGTGGGTTTGAACTGCCAGCGTTCTAGTTAGCAGTCAAATGCCTTAGGCACTACACCACCAGAACTCCCTTCTTTCATGACATTGACTGCAATTTCCCACAATGCAACAACTGTTTTCCACCTTCCTCCCCATAGCCACCTCTTCCCTGTATCCTTCCCTCCCATGCACTCCTGCCCCCCGAGGTATCTCCCTGTGTATACACAGCCCTTCTGTTCTGCCATGATTGATGTCTCCAAGGAGTGTATCTACCTAATGTAAATGTTCAGCTCATATGCCTGTCTTTTGCTTGGCTAGAAGCCACAGGAGTGGGTTCAATTCCAGACCTGAAGAGCAGCTAGGGGCCATAGTCTCACAGGTTCCACCAGGTTCTATCAGACCAGCAAACCTGGTCCCTCTTTTTTTTTCTTTATGATTTTGAGTTTTGTTCCACATTGTTCTCCCACTCTATCTAGGATCTCCTACATAGATCTCCCTCAGAGTGGTTGACAGTGGTAGCCAGGCACCATCTAATTCTTTTGGTCTCACAGTAATATAGGCTGAAGATTACGTGGTGTACCAGTCCCTTGGACTAATTGTTTCCACGTCTTTGGTTTTCTTCATTCTTTGCTCTAGATGAGGAGAGACCCATCGTTGCATCTAGATGACCACTTGCAAGCTTTTAAGATCCCCTTTGCTACTCACCAAAGTAGGAGGTGGAACAATATTTTTGTATAGTATGTTATGCCAATTGAGCTTGGTATCCCCCTGCAACCATGGTCCCAAACCCACAGGTCCAACCACTTGCTCCCTCCAGGTAGCTAGCAGTGGCCAAGAAGTGACTACAACCATGTCCCTTGTCAGCTCTCCTGTATACGTGGAAATTCTTACAGAACATACAAACACAATTGTAGAAACATTGTCAGCCAACCCTATACGTGGTCATGCACACACTCCCCCCTGCTTAGACACACCTAATCATTCACCAAGGCTGTAAAACTTTGTGGAAGTAGATTGCCTCATCTTCCTCCCAGAGAACAGCTGATGGGTTTGAACTGCTGACTTTCTGATTAGCAGCCAAATGCCTTACCCACTAGGACACCAGAGCTCCTTATTCCCCAAATATAACCACTATTTTCTTGTTTATACATCCAACCCTATCAGGTTTAGTCTTGATAACCTGATAATCTTTATGCCCATTTACAGATTAAGAAACTAAAGTATATAGCAGTTAGTGTACTTCCCTAGATTCGCACAGCTTCCATTCCATGTTAGACCAGTTCACAAGGTTAACTCTTACTGCTTGGCATGTCTTATTAACCATTGGGTTACAACTGTTGTTCTTCTTATACTGAAAGAAGGCAGAGCCCCTCCCTTTTTCCTTCCATTGGTTTAGCAGATGTCTTCTGGCCAGACCCTGTGCCAAACACTAGGAATGTAGTAGAGAATGAGGCAAACCTGGCCCTGACTTCATGGAGCTTCCCTTTAGCATTTATTCAGAGGTGCAGAGACCACCAAAAGCCACATCCAGGAATCTTTACCCCTACCTGGGACACCTGTAAGACCAGTGGCTTTTTTGCTGAAAAACAGGTGTCATTTGAGAGGCATGGCATTGATTGCCAGCAGGGGGCACCTGCCGCCAAGGGTTCTTGGTTTGTCAATCTTGGCCCTGCCTGAGGTAAAGACCTAGAGCTGAAGATTGGGTGGAGCGTCCTGCCCTCCCTTGGCTTATGTTTTACCTGAACTGTCTAGAGGCCTCACACCTGACTCTTACTCCACTCCCCACCAGGGTTTGACCAAAGAAGGGGAGAAGACCAGCTATGTCCTGACTGACAGGCTTGGGGAAGGAGACCCCCGGAGGTGAGTGAGAGACCCTGTGTCCTGGTAGGCCAGTGCTGTTTTTTGGGGGGAAAGCAGTAAGCCAGGAGGGGCGATGCCCAGGGTAATCTCAGAAGCTTCCCACTTGGCCTTCAAGGACAGCCACCCTCAAATCCCATCATTTGTTTTTAAAAAGCATGATTTTTCTTTCTGACTATAAAAATTTTTCCCTTCTCGTGGTAAATGCAGAAAAGCACAAAGTAAATAACTCCCATTATTCCACCACCTAAAGATGATCATCATTAACATCCCAGAGTTTTTCTTCTCAGTGTTTCTTCCATGCATGGTTTTGTTAGTTGAGATGCTATTTCTTTGATATTTTGTGTCCTGATTTTTTATTCCATATTATAACATGGGAATTTTATGATACCATTAAAGTGCTTCTTAGACATTATTATTGCATTTCATAGTATTTATTAAACACTGTATGTCAGATCCTTCTAGACACTGAGAGTACGGTGGTGAATAACAAGGTCCTGGACAGCAGGAGACAGATGACATATGCATATCATTACAAAGCTGACTAAGGCTCTTAAAGAAAATACTGGGAGTTTAATATGAGACTTAGGATACTTAGGAGACAGTTCAGGGGAGAAAGAAGGAGAGGGATCAGGGGTTTCCTTAAGGAAGTTGTGCTTGCTCTTGGAAGACTGAGTAGAACAGCATCACAGCCCGCCCCCCATGCCCTTCTTGAGAAGCTTGAGCATAAAGAATGGCTCCAATGAGTGGCCTGTCCCACGATGGTTCATAGGTCTGAGTGCTGGTGGACTGGTGGTCTCTGGTCTGAAAAGTTGGACCTGGGAAATCCAAACATGCTTTTAATATGCAGAAAGGTAGAAGGACCAAAGCCCATAAAAACCCTTTGCCATCAAGTAGATTCCAAATAAAGTGACTCTATAGGACAGAGTAGAACTGCCCCATAGGGTTTCCAAGGCTATAATCTTTACAGGAGCAGACTATCATATCTTTCTCCTGCAGAGTGACTGGTGGGTTTGAACCATCAAACTTTTGGTTAGTTTCTTAACCACTGCACCACCATAGTTCCTTAAGACAATAGCAGTGCTTTGCCAAGGCAGCTTTTGAAATAAAAGGTTCAACAGCTGAGCAATTCACATGGTTACAAACTTGGCTATTTATCCTTGACTGAGGGGAAACCCTCATCAACAGGATGTGGGCTTGGTCTGTTTTTCCACCATGAACCACTGACCTTGTGCACGTTCTCAATGAACTTGAGATTCTCTGGCAAATGCCGATAAATGAAGAGGGGTCAGCTGACCTTCTGAGTTCTCCTTCCCCAAGCCCACAGGATCTTGGCTGGTACCTTAGCCTGAGGTTGCCTCTCACCCTTGTAGCCTGATCCTGTATGTGGAAGTGGCCTGTAATGGGCTCCTGGGAGCTGGGAAGGGGAGCATGATCGCAGCCCCTGACCCTGAGAAGATGTTCCAGGTGAGCCGGGCTGAGCTGGCCGTGTTCCACCAGGATGTCTACAAGCTTCTGGTGGATCTGGAGCTGCTGCTGGGCATTGCCAAGGTATCTGACACAACCCCACACACCTCTAGAGCCCTGCTCAAGGCAAGCTGTTTTGGGGTCACATAATTAGAGCTCTGGAAATCTAGAATAGGGAGAGTGTTTCTGTCTGCCTGAGTGTTGAGAGATTTCCCTGTATACAGGGGAGTAGGGGGAGACAGTGCTAAGCAGGGGGACCAGTGGGAGCAAAGGCTTGAAGGTAGGAATAGAGGTGAGAACCCTTGGGAGATCAGCTGGCACCTGATTTTGGAGGCTAGATACATTGAAAGGGGGATTAAAGGATGGAATCCTGTTGCAGGGCCTCGGAGAAGACAACCAGCGCAGTTTCCAGGCACTGTATACAGCCAACCAGATGGTGAATGTGTGTGACCCTGCCCAGCCTGAGACCTTCCCAGTGGCCCAGGCCCTGGCCTCTAAGTTCTTTGGCCAACGTGGAGGAGACAGCCAACACACCATCCATGCCATAGGGCACTGCCACATTGATACAGGTAGGGCAGCTGTCCAGGTTGGCTGGGGGAAGCAAGTGTGCCCTGATTAAAGCCTGGCTGTGCCTTCGAAGCCCTGCACGTGATCCTCAGCAAGTCTTGCCCCTTTTGGACCTCAGTTTTCCCCACCTGTAAAGTGGGGCAGGAGACTGGACTGTGGGCTCATTCTTTCAAAAAAATCTGATACCTCATGAGATCCCATGCCAGATAGTGGGAGTAGGATTACAGAGACTGACAATAATCACAAATTAATTATTAGACAGCCACAATTGGTGCCATGATGAAGGCAAGTGGGGAGGTTGGGAGGAGCCCAGGGGAGGCACACAACCCAGTTGGGCTGGGGGGCTTCAAAAGAGGCTTTCTAGAGGAAGTGACTTTAGAACTGAGCGAGGATGAGTAAGAGTTTAGGTATCCAAGTCCTGAGAGGAGTGCTGTGGAGTTAATTGAGATGGGGGCTCAAGAGCAGGGAAAGGTTTCCTGGGGAGGATCAAGAGTTCATTTTGAACCTAATGAGTTTTTGGTGTCTGTGAGGCTTATGGGAAATCCACATTTTTAACAAGCTCCCCAAGGTACTGATTCTAATGCAGCTAAAGTTTCTGACCTATCAAATAAGGGCTTTCTCTGCTATGCCAGGGTGTTGAGTGGGTTAACAGGGGTCTGGGCTGGTAAGGAAGGAACAAGAGGTCAGGAGAGGCTGTAGTGCCTTAAGTAGGATGATTGACCCAGGCAAGTCCATCTTGGGGAGCTCTGCCTCCTATTCTGGGAAATTCATCAGTATGGGGAGTGGTTTAATGCCACCTTTCACAGGATCTTCTCTGGGGGTGTCCAAACCTTGGACACAAGCTGTCCTAGGGCCTGGGGCTCCCAATTCCTGACCTGTAAAGTTGAACTGATAGCCCTGCTGCCTCCTTCCTCATCTTCTCCTCCCACCTTACAGGAGTGATTAGAAGTGGCAGCTCAGGAAAGATAAGACAGGGCTACACAGTATGAAGGGCCTAGGATGGAAGGAGGACTACCATGACCCTCTGCAGGCCCAGGCGGGGCTGGTTGGGGTGCTGGGGAAGAGGTGGGGCTGGAGCTCTGTGAGGATCTGGGGTGCTACCTATTCTCCCTCCACCCCTAACCACTTCCATCTAGCCTGGCTGTGGCCTTTCAAGGAGACAGTTCGGAAATGTGCCCGGAGCTGGGTAACAGCGGTGCAGCTCATGGAGAGGAACCCTTCCTTCATCTTTGCCTGCTCCCAGGTCAGACAGACAGCCGTGGGGGATAGGGTGGACACATAGGGCCCCCGGAGCTCTGAAGGCTCTAAAGAAAACAAAGTTCTAAGGGCCTCTTAGGGCCTGAGGGCAGGGCCCTGCCTCACCCTCAGCTACCCACTGGGCCCCAGATGCTCAGACCTGTGTGGGACCCTTGTCATGCCTGGCCCAGCTCCCACCTCCTCTGGCCCACAGGCACAGCAGCTCGAGTGGGTGAAGAACTACTACCCTGGCCTATATGTCCGGCTGCAGGAGTGTGCCTGCCGTGGGCAATTTGTACCTGTGGGGGGCACCTGGGTAGAGATGGTGAGTGCATTCCACAGCCCCTAGCTTCAGGCCATGCTGTCATGGCCCTTCATCTTTGTGGCCCAGGCCCACCTCAGCTTTACTGGTGGCTTTCTGCAGGCTATTCCTACCTCCCCTGTGACAAGGCTCACTAGCCCCTGGAATCCCCAAGGCCTAGGACTCCAAGAAGGGCTTTGTAAGCACTCATGTCTGCTGACCAGTCCTAGAACCTCCCCCAGGGCAGATGGACGGTCAGACTTGCAGCAGGGAGATGGAACCCTTGAGAGATATGGCCTGGCTTCTGCATAGGGTGAGATTGCTTCTGCCTGCTTCCCTTCCAGCACTGACCTTGGCTCTTCCTCTTCCCTTGCTGCCAGGATGGGAATCTTCCCAGTGGAGAGGCCATGGTAAGGCAGTTCCTGCAAGGCCAGAACTTCTTTCTGAAGGAGTTTGGGAAGATGTGCTCCGAGGTAGGCCAGGAGCTGCTGTGCTTGTGGGCGTGTTGGGGGAGCTGGGCCAGAAGTGAGGAGGGCCTGCTCCACCAAAAGCCCTGCTTCCAGTGTCCCAGAGGCCCTTTTCCTACAGTTCTGGCTGCCAGACACATTTGGCTACTCAGCGCAGCTCCCCCAGATCATGCGTGGCTGTGGCATCAGGCATTTCCTGACCCAGAAGTTGAGCTGGAACCTGGTGAACACCTTCCCAGTGAGCACGCCCCAAGGGTTCAGGGTCAGAGTGGGCTTGGGATCCTGTGACCAGGGACAGGACCAGGTCAGGAAGGCCTGGCTTTGCCCCAGCCCTCTTCCCAGTCTCTCATTCTTCTGCCTCTGTCTCTCTGCCGGCAGCACCACACCTTTTTCTGGGAGGGACTGGATGGCTCCCGTGTGCTGGCCCACTTCCCACCTGGGGACTCATATGGGATGCAGGGCAACGTGGAGGAGGTGAGGGGATATCCAGTGGCCAGGTTGGAAAAGGGACAGGTTCGAGAGGGCTTAGTATCTTTCTAGGCTGACCACACTGACCTATCCCTACCTGTCCAGGTGCTAAAGACAGTGACCAACAACCGGGACAAGGGGCGGACGAACCACAGTGCCTTCCTCTTCGGTTTCGGAGATGGGGGTGGTGGCCCCACCCAGAGCATGCTGGACCGCTTGAAGCGGCTCTGCAACACAGATGGGCTGCCCAGGTCAGCCTGGACTGCCAGCAGCCTGGCTCACACTTAGCACCTCCCTCAGCCCTTGAGCTCTTCACTCATATATTAGGATCCAGCCCTCCCACTGGACCTTATCCTGCTCCAAACCTGAATCATTGGCTATTCCAAACTTACACCCTAGGGTGGCATAGGGAACAAAGCTGAGGGTGGGAAGGGGTTTGAACCCACCAGAGAGCAGCTCTCCTGGGTGTCTAGATCTGGCTTTGTGTACACAGGAGCTCTCTTGCTGGGGAGTCCCCTGAGAAGGGGCAGTTCCTCTCTGTTAGGGCTGAATTTATTGTCTGTGCTGGCATAGAGGGAAATGAGCCATGTGCCCCCCAAGGCTGGGAGACCCAGGCCCATGACCTCCCTCAGGGTACAACTGTCTTCTCCGGGACGGCTCTTCTCAGAGCTGGAGAACGATGCAGGGCAGCTGTGCACATGGGTCGGGGAGCTTTTCTTGGAGCTACACAACGGCACCTACACCACCCATGCCCAGGTTAGGAGCTATACGCAGAGCCGGTAGGGAGATGTGTCCTTGGTCTTCAGGGGGTCAGAGAAGGAGACAGTGACAAATGGGATGTAGACAGAGCCTAGCCCAGACCCAGGGAAAGAGGCTTGTGTTCCCAGGGTTGCAGGAGCTCAGAGGAAGGGAGGGTAGAGTTGAGTCGGGCAGGGAAGCTGCTTAGAGGAGACAGGCTGAGGGGAGAGTGGGGAGGGCATTTGAGGCATGTCACCTACAGAGGCTTTATCCAAGAAGCCCTGGGAAGCCATCAAGCGTTCTGAGGTGGGGAGAGTTTGAAAGGTGTCCTGGGATACTTGAGCAGACTCCAGACTAGTTCCTTCACCTTGGACCCAGATCAAGAAGGGGAACCGGGAGTGTGAACGGATCCTGCATGATGTGGAGCTGCTCAGCAGCCTGGCCCTGGCCCACAGCACCCAGTTCCTATACCCAGCAGTCCAGCTGCAGTACCTTTGGAGGTCAGGTCGGCTCTATCCCTGCTGCCCACCTGACCTTTTCCCCATCCCCAAACACGTTTGTGTCTGCCCCTCCCATTTTCATTTCTGCTGCTTCCCCTGCCCTCCAAGGCCTCCTTCATCCCTGCCCATGGCCCCTGTAGGCTTCTGCTCCTGAACCAGTTCCATGATGTGGTACCTGGAAGCTGCATCCAGCTGGTGGTGGAGGATGCCATGAGCCACTATGAAGGTGAGGCTGACAACAGGCCCACCGTGCTCTGTAACACCCAGGGCCAAGCCCAGAGTGTTCCCTGTGGTGACTTAGGGGGTCATTCCAGACCCATGGCTCCCACCCATGACTACCCAGTCTCTCCTCAGACATCCGTTCCCATGGTAACGGACTGCTCAGTGCTGCAGCTGCAGCCCTGTGTGCCGGGGAGCCAGGTCCCGAGGGTCTCCTCATTGTCAACACGATGCCCTGGAAGCGCACAGAAGTACTGTCCTTGCCCAGGCCTGGTGGGGCCCATACCCTAGGTATGAACTGAGGGGAAGGATGATGCTACTGCAGTAGGAGGGATCAAGGCCAGAATGAGGTGGGGAGAGGCTGGATGGAGAGGTTGGAGGGTGTCATATCTTCCCCACCCCCACTCTACCCTGAGCAAGGTTCCTGGGAAGTCAGGGAGGCTGTACTGATGCCCAGGCCTCATCTCTAGCCCTGGTGACAGTGCCCAGCATGGGCTATGCTCCTGCTCCTGCCCCCGTTTCCCAGCAGCCCTCACTGCCCCAGCAGCCTGTGTTTGTAGTGCAAGAGGTGAGTCCCAGCATGGCCCAGTGGGGTGGGGGCTGTCCTGGGCTGCTCTCTAATAATGTGAGCATTTTGGGCCCCCCAGCTATAGGGCTGGTAGGGAGCGTTTGGAGGTGGGGTGGAGGTTCTGGCTGTGAGAAGCTCCTGCAGGCTCAGTCTCAAGGCCCCCTCCCACCAAGACTGACGGTTCTGTGACTCTGGACAACGGCATCATCCGGGTGAAGCTAGATCCAACAGGCCGCCTGACATCCCTGGTCCTGGTAGCTTCTGGCAGGTACCAACCCCTCATAGTCCTCTCCTAGTGCCTGGCAGGTGGATCTCAGACCCAGTTCCCTGTACCCTGGCCACAACACTGCCCACAGCAGCCCACCAGTGGCTCTGGGCTGGGACCCACATATAGAGGGCAGCCTGGGCTGAGAGTCACCTTGGCCTAGTCTCCCTGTGCTGTCCCCTCCTTAAGCATCCAGGGAGATCAAGGTCATCTAGTTGTAAAACACAATCCCCATGTCCTTCCAGGGAGGCCATTGCTGAGGGTGCTGTGGGGAACCAGTTTGTGCTGTTTGACGATGTACCCCTGTACTGGGATGCGTGGGACGTCATGGACTACCACCTAGAGACACGGTGCGGGGTGGGCAGGACTTGGGGGTGGGATAGGAATGCAGGCCTATCCAGACCCCTCCAGGACCCCCTCCAGTCTGCCCTGGCTCAGTGCTTCCCATTCCTATCCCACAGGAAGCCAATGCTGGGCCAGCCAGGGACCCTGGCAGTGGGCAATGAGGGTGGCCTGCGGGGCAGTGCCTGGTTCCTACTGCAGCTCAGCCCTAATAGCCGGCTCAGCCAGGAGGTGGTACTGGACGTTGGGTGCCCCTATGTCCGCTTCCACACTGAGGTAGCAGGGGAGCAGGGCAGTGGGTATCTTCCTCAAGTGCCACTGGTGGAGAGGTAGCTGGCACCAGGCCTATATATGTCTCTGCCTTCACTTTCCCCCACTCTGTATCCTGCCTGCAGGTACACTGGCAAGAGATCCATAAATTCCTGAAGGTGGAGTTTCCTGCCCGAGTTCGGAGCCCCCAGGCTACCTATGAGATCCAGTTTGGACACCTGCAGCGGCCTACTCATTACAACACCTCTTGGGACTGGGCTCGCTTTGAGGTCTGACACTAGGGAGAGACTGGATGTGTGGTGTGGGGTGAGGAAGAAGATGATGACCAACATTTGCTAGTTCCTCTGGTGGTGCAGTGCCTAAGGCATTTGACTGCTAATCAGAAGGCTGGTGGTTCAAACCCACCAGCCACTCCTCGGAAGGAAGGTTGGGAAATCTACTTCCATAGTGATACTGCCTCAGAAACCCAAGGGGGTCACTATGAGTTGGATCCGACTCAATGGCAGTGAGTTTGGTTGGTTGGTTGGTTGGCTTAACACATGTGCAAGGCATTGTGCTTTAACATTTAGTTTAATATTCATGACTATTTGGTGGGGTGAGTACTATTAATCCCCATTCCACAGATGAGGAAACTGAGGCTTAGCAGTTAGATCAAGTGCCCAGGGTCCACTATAGAGTCTGGTCCCAGAGCTTGCTTTCTCCCCAGTGAGAGGCACTCTGGAGACTGAGAGCAAGCATAAGAAGGCATGGGCCACCAAGTGGGTCTTGGGTCTGCCCTCTAGGTATGGTCCCATCGCTGGATGGATCTGTCTGAGCATGGCTTTGGGCTGGCTTTACTCAACGACTGCAAATACGGTGCCTCTGTGCATGGCAACATCCTCAGCCTCTCGCTGTGAGTGGGGTGCCTGGGAGCTCCGGGGCTGCCACAGGGGCATGGATCTTCCCAAGCCAGAACTCCAGCAGCTCCAACCCATCCCTCCCCACCCAGCTTGAGAGCACCTAAGGCCCCTGATGCCACTGCTGATATGGGACGCCATGAGTTCACCTATGCTCTTATGCCGCACAAGGGTGAGTGCTGAAGTGGGGTGGTGGGGCCCTCCTTTGGCCCTGGACTCCTCTTTGCCCTCTGAGCCTCTGTTTCTTCAACAGTCAGTGGGAAAAACCCCAGCAGTTATACCTCCCTCCCCGCTTTAGGAGTGTGGGAGGAGAGCCTTCATTTTCTGATCTGCCCCCCAGGCTCCTTCCAGGATGCTGGAGTCACCCAGGCTGCCTACAGCCTCAACTTTCCCCTGCTGGCGCTGCCCGTTCCAGGCCCAGCACCCACTGCCGCCTGGAGTGCCTTCTCACTGTCCACATCTGCTGTGGTGTTGGAGACTGTAAAGCAGGCAAGGGGGTGTGATGGGATGGGGCGTGGTCCCGAGCATGGCCCTCCCTAGCCCCGCCCATCACACACCTCCCTCCCCAGGCTGAGGCCAGCCCCCTGAGCCGAACGCTGGTGCTGAGGCTGTATGAGGCCCACGGTAGCCACGTAGACTGCTGGCTGCACATGTCGCTGCCAGTTCAGGAGGCTGTCCTGTGAGTAGAGATGCCGGGGTCAGGTGGGGGTTGGAGCCTGGTCCTTTGCGACCCCCTCATGGCCTCTCCTGTTATCTAGCTGTGACCTCCTGGAGAAAAGGGACCCAGCTGGCCACCTAGCCCTGCAGGACAACAGCGTGAAGCTCACCTTTTCTCCCTTTCAAGTGCAGTCCCTGCTGCTCTTGCTGCAGCCTCCACCACACTGAGCCCCTGGGGTGGGAATTTGTTCCTAGAAAGGCTTGGAAGCTCCTCACTTCTGCCTCTCAGCCACAAGCAAGGCCCAGTCCCCTCTGAGCCAATGTAAAATAAATCCTTGGATCAGTAGTTCTGCTGACAGCCCCTGAGCCCCTCTGTTCTCAAGATTTGAGGGGGAAGTTTTCTCAGACATTTGACAGCAGTAGCAAGGTTCAAGTCTACTTTGAGGGGAGGGAGGGTCTGGGTTGCAGCCCCTGTGAGAGAGCTTGAGAACCTTAAGTGACACAGTTAAAAGACCATGAAATTAAGCAGCTTCTTACCTGTGTCAGCAGGTGCAGAGGGCCTGGGGGTGGGGAGAAGGGTGGGTTCTGGCTGCCCCTACTGGGCAAGGAGCAGTGACTAGTCAGGGCCAGGCGTGGGGCCAGCTACAGGCCCTGAGGACTCCAGGAATGGAGGAGCTGTAGGGCCTGGGAGGCCGGGACCAGGGTCTCTACCAATTCCCAGGGGTTTGTCCCTGCTAGGGGAAGACTGTCCTCTGTAAGCCAGGGCCTTGAGGACTGGAACGGGGGCTCAGTTTGCCCTGCTGAGGAGGTGGCCTCCCATCTTCACGGCTAGGCAGCAGGCCCTCCTAACCTGGCCTTCCCAGACCTGCAGGCAGTCCAAGAAGTTCCTGGAAGTTTAACTATATCAGTTTATTTAAAAAAAAAAAAAAAATTGACATGAGCTTTTAAAATGGAGAAGGTGGGGGTACATTAAAAACACCACAATTGTGCAGGGGCAGCCATGGGGCCTGCTTCTAAGAAGCTGGATAGGCCCTAGATCCAGGGCAAGGCAGCAGGAAGGGGTGGATGCAAGCAAGGGGACTTTCCTGCTAAGAGGCTGAGGTTCCCTCTGGTTCTAAGGGTAGGGTGTCAGTTCTGTTCTTCTGGGGTCTCTGCTGGCCTGGGGGGAGGACAGAGGTAAGATGCTAGCTCAGAGGCACCCAGGCTGACAGCCTCACTGCCCCCTCATTTCACACACTTTTCACACCTGCACTGCCATCCCATCTTCTGCAGAAATGGTTTCAGAGGGCCCTTTCTATCCTCAGAGGAGGATGCTGAGGAAAACCCACCTGAGGCTGCTGGTCGCCTCTTTTTCTCTTTCTTAGGGACTGTGGGGGCTTCTGGGTTCTGTTGGAGGCTGGGCTGCTCAGGCTTCTGGGCTGTGGGCTGCTTGGAAAGGTTCCTCTGTGCTCTTCGTGCCCGGGAAGGGGTCTTGCTTGGAGGTGGAGGGTCCTGGGTGGAGGAGACATGGGTCCCCAAGGAACTCAGGGAGGAGTTCGGAAGTTGGTAAGGTCCCACCCTTCTTCTGTGTTAGGAGAAGAGAGCTGTCCAAAAGTATGGCCAGACAGGGAGAGCCAGCCAGGGCACGGGAGACCGCAGAAGACGTTGAATCAGGGAACCTACCTCCTTTCTGTCCTCTTGGCCTGGCTGTGTTTCCTTGAATTTCTTCTTCCGGGACTTGCCCCCTGCATGACACTGATGCTGGGATTGGCGGGGCCTATGGCTTCAGCTCCTTTTTTCCAAACTCACTCTACCAGGGGTAACTCCAGGGTTGGAGTGGGGGTGGAAATGGAGAAGGATGCTGTAGCCCTTGCCAGCAGAAAGTCCTTTCTGCTTTAGCCTATTACATTAGAGGTAGCTTACCTTTGGGTGCCAAGGGTCCAGGATCCCCCTGAAGTGGAATGGGGAGAATTCTGAAGTCAATGTGGGCTGGGGCAGGGGCAGTTTGCCTTGGAGAGGCTGGACTCACCTATCCTCCAGATCACTGCAGCCCCTCCCCAGGAGGCCTCTGATCTCCCCACAGGTCAGAGCTGACATCGGGCAAGGCCACTTTGCCCTTGAGCTGCTCTACCAGCTGGAACTTACAGGAGGGGAGGGGCATAGCATGGGGGAGGTCTAGACCCCCAGAAACAGAGAGACCTTTAGGAGCCTAGGCAGGCCCTAGGAATCCTCACCTGGAGAAGACCCTAACTCCTGCTGTCTGTGACCCTAGGTCTCCCCACCCACCAGCTTTCCTAGAGGCTCTTGTCTGCCTATGAAAGCAGTAGAGCCCCTCACCTGGAACCAGATGGTACGGCCATGCCGGTCCCTCAGGGAGCTCATGCCCGAAACACCATAGCACCGCAGCCAGGCTCGAAAGGCAGCAAAGTCCTCCTCCCCACTCTCCAGCCCGTACCCTTTGCCCCCTGTGGGACAGAAGAACCAGGTGGAGGTCAGGGAACAGACTCAGGTTGGGAGGAGGGGGAGCCTGGCTAGACCTGGCCCAGACTTCAGCTTTGTAAGCTGATGGATTGAGTCAGGGGCCAAGGCTCTCCCTCCCCAAGCTGTGTGATCTCTGGCTGGGGATTCCTCCATTCTGGGCCATGGCTTTCACATCCTGAAGTAGGGCTGAGAATCCTTGCCCTGCTGCCTCCTGGGCAGCATAATGGACATCCACATATGTGAGAAATGAAGAGACCTAGTCCAGTTTAACAACTGAGACTACAACCTCCCATTTCCCAGGTGGGGAACTGGGTCCAGAAAGGGGCAGCCATTGCCTGGGGTCACACAGCGGAGGCAGTTACAATCTTTGGTCTGCCTGAGCCTTACCCAGCTGGACTACTTCCTTGGGCACCAAGTGGCACAGCTCCAGTAGGTCTGGGTTTTGCAGCTTGGCCTTGATCTTCTGGCTCAGGGTCAGGTCAGGGCTCTGAAGGGGCAGGACCATGCCATCAGCATGGACAGAGCTGCTCATCCATCCAGCATCAGACTCCCTCCCCTCTGAGTTCAGCAGGTCCACAGAGGCAGTTCATATTTCACATACACATATTGTAAAGAAAGGGAAACTGAGGCCCAAGGCCAAGAAAGGACCTGCCTCAGGTCATATAAGTGGTCCGTGGCACAGCTTGAGAAACCTGACTCAGCCCATACCCTGGCAGCCCCTTTCTGACATGCCTGGGCCAGCCAAGGCACATGTTCTGGGTGCAGGCCTCCCTGTACCCACCAGCCTGCGCTGCTGCAGGGCCTCCAACACCGTGCGGGCCTTCTCAAAAGGGGGGATCCTCAGCCTGGAGTGGTTGGGGGAGAGGGAGCCATACTGAGCAGGGGAGAGAGATGTGGGTACGCCCTGACCCACCCCAATGCTTGTGCCTTGGGCCTGCCCTGCTAACCGGTGCAGGATCTCTGCCCGCAGATAGTTGCCAATGCCATTGAAGAACCTCTGGTCCAGGAGGGCCTCACAGATGGGCTGGTCAAAGGCCTTGTCTGCTAGGTTTCGCAGCACATTCTCCCTGAAGGGACACAGCTCAAGTGTAGGAGACTCACCCCCCCACTCTGGTTTGTTCTACTTCTCCCCACACTTGTGCCAGTGGGAGCAACCAACCGCACAACTTTACTAGTTCCCAGATGCATCCAGGGTGGGTGGTGTGATGACAAAATGGGGGAGGGAGCCCAGCTCCTGGTTACAAGGCGAGAGAAACTGGGAGTCCCAGTCCCCCTTCTCGCAGCCACAATGCTGTTTTGGCAACTAGAATCTCCAGTTTTCTGACCTGTCAATTGGGAACAATATGGTATTTTAATTCATTACCCCTCCCCCCCCAAAAAAAAACCCAATTGCCATTGAGTTGTTTTTGACTCATAGCAACCCCCATTGGGTTTCTGAGGCTATAAATCTTTACGGAAGTAGATCACCCCATCCTCTTTCTGTGGAGCACCTGGTGGGTTTGATCCACTGACCTGGTTAGCAGTCAAGTGCCTTACCCACTACACCACCAAAGCAAAAACAGCAACCAAAAGCATTATGTTTAAAGGAACCCTTGTAAGTCTGTATATGTTGTGTGTGTATCTAGAAAGTGCCTCAGACTCCTCAGGACACTTGAGAACAAGGAGATGGCACAGATGTGCCCACAGCCTGGCATTCCCTAAGACTCCTGGGTGCTTAAAGAGCATCTGTGGATTTGACATTGGTACGTTCAACTCTTCTTAAGCCCTTGAAGATTGTCTTCAAGGAGGCTGGCATGATCACTGCACAGTAGGTATGTGAGGCATGTTCTAGCTAGTGGGTGCCCTAGAAGCCCAACAAACACTTCCAAGTGTCATGTGTCTTTCCTTGGCCCCAGGCAAAGGAGATGCACCTCATTTCTTTGTGGAGAAGGGCTGAGTATGAAGAGAGTACGAAGAGGGGGCCAGAAAAGAGTTTGGGGGGAAAGGTACAGGTGGGAGGCTAGCCTCAGCTCACTGAGGGAAGTGGATCCTCATGGGCTTCCAGCTGTAGCACCAATACCTGCTTCCATCTGGGCCAAAATGCTCATTGAGAGAAAGTTCAGAGCCAGCTGGCAAAAAGTTAACTTTGTGGCCTGTTGAATTATGGTCAGAGGTTTCCCTGAGGATGCACTTGGGGTTTGTGCCTGGGAGCACCAGGAGGCAACCGGAGATGTCCTGGCCCAACCTGAGGGGAAACCAAGTCTCCTAAAGGCCAACTGAAAGTGGAACTTCCTGAGGAAGTAAGAACTGGCCAAGTGCACCTTCAGGCATTTGCATGTACAATTCTTGCCAGTTAAATGCTTTTCCTCTACAGCTTTGTATGGCTGGCTCCTTGTCCTGGGTCAGATCTCGGCTCAAATGTCCCCTCCCCAGAGTGCCTTCCCACCCCAAAGTCATTCTCTGCCTCTTCTACCTGTTGAATTTTTCTTCAGAGATGGGTCTGTTTGAGCTCACCGTGTTTGTTTCCTTGTCCCCATTCCCTGAAACAATTCCTTCCTGCCCAGCCTCACTTCTTAGCATGTTGTAAGCCCTTATACTATTCTTCCTAGCCACCTGGGAGCACCAAGAAGTAGTGTGGGGTTCTGGTCCAAGCCCTAGTTCTGAAACCCACTGGCCATTTGTTCCCAGGGCTGCACCTACCCATCCTCTTCTTGTCTCCCCTCCTTGCCTCCCACAGCAGATCTGCTTGTAGATTTACACATGCATTAGCTCAGGAGCCCTCTACAGGGCAGAGGACATTGTCCTGGGCTACGAGTGAGGGGATTACAGCCCAAAGGGGATGGGACTGACTCCTGGTTATCCGATAAGGTGCTCACAGCCAGGCCTGGAACCCATAACTGTGTCCATCACAGTCCATCACCAGCACACTGGTGCTGGCCCTACCTGAACTGCTCATACTCCACCAAAACACAGGGCCCACGGCCCAGCTGCCACTCGCCTCCGAGGTCCCAACGGCCGAAGCGGCGGATGTCCACAAAGCAGAGGGCAAGCCTGGGTTTGGGTGGAGCCGTGTAGAAACGCAGATGGGCATGGGGTGGCAGCGCATCCCCAGGCGTCAGCTGGAAGGAGCCAGTCATGCCAAAGCGGAAGATAAGGGCCAGTGGCTCCTGTGGGGGGTGGCCCCCGGGCAGGGGGCTCAGGGTCAGGCGTAGCTCCTTGCCACGGGCTGTGGCTGAGATACTATAAGCACTGCTCTCAAAAGGCACCTCAGGGTTTTTGCTGACAGATGACTTCTCCACACACCCACCAAACACCAGGCCCTTGCATGTCTCATTCACAAAGAGGCTGGCCAAGTGCAGCTCAGGGCCCTCAGGCATCCTGTGGGCGGGCTGGCTGGGCCCTGTGGAGGAAACAGGTAGCAGGTTGGGCCAGGTGTGCCCTGTGAGGTAGGAAATATCCCCATTTTGCAGAGAAGCCTGAGGGTTGCAGGGGAGCACCCACAAACCTGGCCACAGCCCCTGGCCCCCATTTCAAATTGCTGAGGAAGCCCTGGCCTCCGGGGAGCTTACTCTGGGGAAGGAAACATGGCTCTTAACAAGAGCTCTCGCTTTTAGGAAAAAATCCAAATCCTTACCAGGCCCACCCTCCAACAGCTCATTTCCTCCCAGGCTCCCTTCACTCATAGGCTCCAGGCACCCTGCTCTTCTTCACATCTCCATGCCTTCGCCCTGCTGTCCCCTCATGCTGGAACCCTTCCCTCAGCTCAGAAAAGTCACCTTCTCAGAGTGGCCTCCCTGACGCTCAACCCTGCCCAAGGTAACACCTAACTACCCCTGCAATACACACCTTTTCTTGGGGGCACTCAAGGTTGTATTATCTAGTAAATAAGGTAGTCACAGACTTATATGTGCTTACTTAACTAATCTGTAGTGAACAATTTCACTTATTTTTCCCCCTCACCACAGCAAAGATTCTGCTTCTAGGTATGGCTGGCATGTCTCTCCCAATGCCACCGAACCTTTCTCCAGAATCAAAGCCTCTTCAAATATGCAACCCCTAACAGGGACCCCCGAAGCGGTCTCAATCACTACGGAAGTAGATTGCCCAACCTTCCTTCCGAGGAGTGGCTGGTGGGTTTGAACCGCCAGCCTTCTGGTTAGTAGTCAAATGCCTTAGGCACTACGCGGGATGGACTCTTTACTACCCTTCCCCCTCTCCTCAACTTCGCCCAGGGCCTGGCACCCGAAAGGTTTCGATCTGCGGGAAAAGGTGAACTTCTAGATTTCTGCTTTTGCAACCGTTGGAAGCTCTATGTCTGTTTCACCCCCCTTCTACTCCCCGCTGCGACCCTACCCACGGTTAATCGCGGTTCCCTTCCTCCCTCAAATCCCCTCTTCATCCCAGATCAGCTGCACAAATCCCTATCCCAAAGCACTGCCCCTCAGACCTGCGCTGGGCGCCTCTCCCGGACAATCAGCAGCCACTAAAGGGTTAATACCAGGGGCGGAGCCGCGCCAAAGAGCATGCTGGGGACTGTAGCCGCTAGCCCAGCGCCTGGTGGGAAATGTAGTTCTGCAGGGCGAGGGCAGAGACCGAGCCTGCTTGGGTTGGAGTCTCCGGGACTTGGTGAAGGCTTTGGGGTAGTCACCTGACTAGGATGTGGCGGAGGAGTCTGGCTTACCGCTTCCCGGCGCGGACGGGGGTCTGAAGTCAGTCTGAGGACCCGGGTTGCAGCTGTCTCCGCGATTGGGGGGCAGTCACCAGCTGGCGCAAGACCGGGTGGGCACCCCCAGCAGGAAACGACAACAAAGCTGAGACTTTTGCAGCTGAACGCGCACAGGTGCTGATAAACGCGGGCCCTGGGGACCTAGTGGTAGCCTTAAGTGTTACCGCAATCAGATGCCACATAAACATCACCACCGTCTGCAGAGAAGTGCAGTCAAGCAACAAAAACCAGGGGCCGAGGAAAATGAACTTTAGATGATCCGTAAGGGCGGGTCTCTGCAGGGTCTCCGTGCCTTAACTTTTAGGCCAGAACTCAAAGAAGGAGCCAGCAGCAAGAGTGGGAGCAAAGAGTGCAAAGAAATATGGCAGGCAGAAGGCCCGAAGGCAGGAAAGAGATTGAAAGATACTGACTGGCTGAAGACCCATGTGACTGGAGTGTAGCTGAAGGTAGTGCTATGATGTGAGAGCGGAGTAGCCAGCATGCTCCAGGTCTGGTCAGACAGGGCCTTGGAGGCCCCAGTGAGGAGTCTGGGCTTTATTCTCAGTGAGATGGAGCATGTATGAGGCACTGTGCCTATCCCATAGACATGATCTGCCCCCCTCCCTACTACTTCTCCTTTTCCCCCACATCTGTTTTGGCAGAAGTATTTTTAAATAAATTAGACAAATTATGATGCATCATCCCTGAACACTTTAGTATGCATCTCTGAAAAACAATTTCCTACAAACCACAATACCTTTATCTAGTAAAGTTCACAATAATTTCTTTATATCTAATACCTACCTTTGTTGTTGTTGTTGTTGTGTGCCGTCGAGTCGGAACCGACTCATAGCGACCCCTCCTTGGGTTTCCGAGGCAGTATCACTACGGAAGTAGATTGCCCAATACCTACCTAGTCCACATTAAAATTTCCCCAATTGTCAGCAAGTTTTTTTCTACAACTTGAGGCAGATTCTAATCTAGGTTTATGTCTAACCATTTTTAATCTAGATGGAATCACTTCACCTCCCATGCACCCCCCCCTTGTTTGTCTTTCATGATACTGATATTTCAGAAGATTAAAGAGATATAATCCTTAGACTCCAACACACAATATCAGAGATCTGCTAAAAGAGATTTAAATAAAATCCAGAATCTCATAGTACCCAAAACATCCAGGATTCAATCAAAAACTCATCTACTCTATCTAAAAGCAGAAGAGTTTAATCAGTCCTTTTATTTTTTGATGCTCAAATGGTTTCATTTCTGGCCAGTGGGACAAGCCAGCTCTTCTTGACATGACACATTCTTCTCTGATGGCCTCCTTGTACCAGAAAGGCTGTTCCAGGCTCATCTTATACTCTCCCTCCCCCAACCTTAGAATCAGCCTTTTCTACAGGGAGCCCGGGTTGGTCTAAGCTACTCCCAGGAATTCTGAATCACAATACAACAGACCTTCCTTTCCCTGAGCATTTTTTTAACACTGTCACTATGTGGTTCTGTGTGTGTGTACAAGAAATACTGAAGATTGTTATAAAAGGAAGGATCCCTGATGGTGTGACAGTTAAGTGCTTAGTTGCTCACTGAAAGGTTGATGGTTAGAATCCACCAGCCACTCTGTGGGATAAAGACCTAGCAATCTGCTCCTGTGGGGCAGTTCTCTTCTGTCATGTTGCTGAGTCAAAAACCGGTGGCACCTAACAACATTATAAACGGGGGAGAGTGGAAAGGGTTCAGGCATGAGCCCTTCTTCCTCCACAAAGATGGCAGGAGTGAAGGCCCTTCTCCTTTCTGTACATGGGCACCTGGCATTGGCTTGCTGCGAGCCTGAGGCTAGCATAGGAAGTACAGACCCAAGAGCATCACAGGACTGCAGAGCTAGAACCCTGCCTTTTCTGTGGACAAGCTGTTTCTTTTTGGTCCTCATTTTGCCTCACCAGCAGCTGAGAAAATGAGTGATGGGCCAAGTGGTCCGTATGTCACTTGGTCTCTCTCACAAAAACCTTTGATCTGAAACCTAAAAAAGAAACCCCCACACACACTCCTTTATGCTTCTGTTTATTCTTCCCAACTTGTGAAAACAGTTGACAGGTGCCTTTTATGAGGAGGAAGGGCAGTGGTGGAAAAAGGTCCTTAGGATGCCTATGCTGAATTCTCCAGTGGGAACCTAGGAAGCCAGGGGCCCAGGAGGCCAGGGCCTGGGCCCAGTCCAGGCATCCAACATCATGGGGCTGGGGCCACTCCCCAAAGAGAACTTCAGAGGCCAGCCACTTGACACGGGTAGGGCAGCTCTGCACAGGACCCAAACACCATTCTCCTCAGCCCAGGGAACTCATCAGGGTCTGGGCCTGCTTCAGTTCTGCTGGAGGAAGAGGTGGACATGCAGGCAGGCAGTCAGGCAGGAGCTGAGAGGGTCCTCTTACCCCTCTGGGTCTGGCTGAGTCTCACCTGCCAGTAGGACCTGGAACTTTTCTGCTGAGAGGGACATGGCGATAGGCTGGGCCTTGGCACCGGGAGCAGATGCCACCTCCAGCTGCAGGTGCACCATGGGCTCCTCCACAGACCGCAACAGACTGGAGCTTAGTGTGTAGTCCACCCGCCAGCCCACACCCTCCAGTCTGTTCACTGCAAGACAGTGTGGGGTGGCTCTCAGGATCCCAGGTAGCCCTCCACCCTTCAAGGCTGTGTGGCCTTTGAAAAGCTCCCATCTCTCTCAGCTTCTTTCCTCATTGTCACAGTTAAGACAATAATCCTGACCTGGGCTTGGTAATGACAGGGCAGGAGTTCAAAAAACAGGAGCCCAGATGATCCACACCAGATCTCAGAGGAAAGAAACCTGGGCTGGACTCAGAGACCCAGGGGTAAGCCCAGCTCTGTGACTGCTTGACATGTGACGATGGCTAAGTGTCCCCTCTGATAACTGGCAACTTGCATGCTGCATGTGCTTTCTAGAATGGACCCCAGGTCCCACCCTAGTCCACCCTACACTTACCGCGCAGGCTGCAAGCCCGCAGGTGCTCCTGCAGGGGGCTTTGCTTCTCCTCATAGCAACGGCACAGGCTGGCCGCATGCTCTGGGGGCAGAATGAAGGTCCCTTCAGGTACAGGCAAGTCTCGGGCTCCTGGCCCAGAGAGGTGGTGCCCTTCTCAGTGTCACATGGCCTGGCCTGCTGTCCAGCAGCCTTTGACCCATAGGTTACCCACCTGCCTGCCACATCCCTGTACCTTTGGGTAGCCCCAGCTGCTGCAGTTCACTGGACAAGGACTCGCCATCCACGCTATGCTTGGCCGCACTGGAGAGGATGAAACTCAGCACCGCCACCGTGGCCTTCACATCGCCTGACTCTGAGGGGACCCACGGGTGGGGTGGAGGTGTCATTGTGGCCCCAGCTGCCTTCCTTTGTCCCACCATCTTCAGCTCAGAGCTGCCAGGCCTCCCTGAGGCACAGCCACTCCTCCTGCTCGCCCAAGAGCTGTTTGAGGGCACTGGGGGCAGGACTGGGAGCACCTTTCTTCTGCAGCTTCTCCACTATGGCATGTGGTCAGGGAAGGCTGCTGGGAGAAGGGGGCCTCTGTGCCAGGTACCAGGTCCCTGAAAGGCCTGTAGACTCGGGGTACTCACCAAACTTGGCATCAGCTGTGAGCTTCAGGATCTTCTCATACTATGAGGAAAGGAGGCCCTCAGGGGGTACCCGACCTCTCTTTCCCAGCCCCTTTCCCCCCAGACCTGGATCCTATGGTAGGGAACAGGCTTGGGCAAGAGGGAAGGATGGGAGTATCCAGGAGGTCTGGAGGCTGGATCACCCACCTCCCTGGGCCTGGTACAGAATTTCAATAGAGGTCATAAGGTCATGCCAGTCCCTATACTCACATCAATCCCCTGTCCCAGAAGCTCCTTCAGCACCTGGCTACACAGCAACCGTAGCTTCACAGAGGACTGGAAGGGAAGGCCTCACATCAGCCAGACTAGCCACTTCACTCCTCCTGCTGAGAAGTTGGCTCAGAGAGGGCTGGCCACATGATTCAAGTCACACAGCATGCTAAGACAAGCTGAGAACATTGCAGCCCCAACCCTAGAGTGACCTCACCACCTTCCACCCCCACAGCCCCAGTCCCCCTCCCTCCCTACCAGGTAGACCCTATGCACTCACAATCTTAGCCAGCGTGCTGATCTCTGCCAGGACCCAGTCAGGACAGTCCAGATCACCACAGAAGCGGAACCTCTGCACAGGAGGGAGGCAGATGGTCAGGCTGCAGGGAGGGCTGGGGTGTGTGACTGTGTGTGTGTGACTCCCACACAACTGCTCATCAGAGACCTCTAATCCCTGTCCCAGGTGGATGCCCTCTGGCCATCTGTTCCCTCCTATCACCAGGCTGTTTACAGAATCCTCTTCCTGACCCACTGGCTTTGGCCACCACAGTCATGACTGCCCATCCTGGCCTCTTAGTTCCTGGACAGTTACTTCAGGCTACCCACTCATGAGTCTTGCCCACAGCACAAACTGCAATAGCCCTGATGTTGGCAGTGCAGGCTGCCCACAGCTGTTGGTTCTACCCCAAGTGCTTAAAACTGAACAAAACTTGCACTCCCATAAGCCTCTCTATCCCCCACTCCCCAGTGCTCTAACCTTCACTAGCTAACTTGGATTCTTGGCCCATTCTGTCAACCGTGTTCTTGCCGATACCCTCCATCCCCTGTCCAATTGCCCTTTGTCCTGTCAGCCTGCACATCAATATGCATGTCCCTCTTTCCATGCCTCTACCTGGGTTGTTTCCACATACTACTATAACAAAGGGAGCTCTGCAAGCATAGTGCCTAAGGCATGTGACTGCTTACCAGAAGGCTGGCGGTTCAAACCCACCAGCCACTCCTCGGAAGGAAGGTTGGGCAATCTACTTCCCTAGTGATACTGCCTCGGAAACCCAAGGAGGGGTCATCATGAGTCAGGTCCGACTCGAAGGCACACAACAGCACTAGAACAAAGCCCCACAAACTCAGGCCACTGCAAATCCATGCTCTCCAGATTCTGCTGGGTCATCAAAGCAACCCGGCAACCCCACTTCCCTACTGCCACCACCAGTCACTTCATACCTCATCTGCTCCCCTTAAACCTCCAGCTTTCAACCCCTTTCACCTGCCACAGCACCACACTTCTTGACCATTCCTGTACCCCCTACACTAGGACTTCTATACATGATTTCAACTAAGTCCTCTAGCCACAGCCACAGATGACTGTCACTATACTCCGCCCAGGTCTCCCTTAACTGCTCCGCAGCTTCTGACATGACCCCACTGTTCCTGAAACACCACGCCCTTCCAGGTTTCTCCCTCTGGTGTGCCTGACTCTCCTTTGCTGGCTCATCTTCCTTTCCACAGCCCCTAAATGGGACTCCACAAACTGTTGACTGTGGCTACTGTAGGGCAGGGGTTTGGGACTGGTAATGAGATAATGGGCTATTAAGGATGGTCTTAACTTCTTACTCTATGTCAAGGGATCTTAATCTGTGCTATGGCAACTGGTGACGCCTTTAAAACCCTTTTCAGAATTATGTTTCTAAATGCATAAATAGGAAGGCAAAGAAAACTAATTATACTGAAGTTATCAAAATATTTAAAACAAATCTGTGATATGGTATTGTATGTGTTCCTATATTAAACTGAAAAACAAAATACAGCAGAAAGTCTACTAATCGCCATAATTTGGAAATGATGAGCATAAACAATACTTCAAGATATCTGCCAACAGCTATAATGTGATAGGAAAAGATCTGTGATTTCTATTACTGACAAAATCATAGTTGCTGCTAATAATACTACTTTTTTTAGAAACATTCATACTATAAAGAAATACTAAATTTCAGTTTGAAGTTAGTGAAAATAAAGATTTATAATTTTCCCTAAATTCATGGACCCCTGACTTCAACCCACAGAGTTCTGTATACCTCTGTATTGTTTGAACATTTTCTAGGAGAATGTGTTCCATTAAAAAAAAAAAAAGTGTCCCTCTTGTAATTTCTTAGAATGCTGGCATTCTCCAGGCTCTGTGCTAGGCCCTCTTGCCCCTCAAGTCACACTTTCACTGAGACAGCTTTTGCATTCTTAAGAGTTCAATTATCATCTTTTTGCAGATGACTTCCAAATGCCATTGCAGATTCTCTGCTGAGCTCCAGATCCTTAAATCCAAACTGTCCCCTGCTCAGCTGCACCTGGATGTTCACAGACACCACTTATTCAGCATGGCTTCAAGTGATTGCACTCTTCCCATTGAAACCTGCTCCTCCTCTTGGCTTCCCCATTACACCACCTGGGAAGCAAGCCTGGGCTCCTCCTCCTCCTTTTTCCCCTCCTGCATTTCATCCCTGAGACTGCTGATTTTCCCCCACTTCTCTCTCCACTGCCTCCACCCTAACTCGCCACCACCACTTCTGGGTGTCTGCTGCCCCTGCCTACACTCCCCATTTCCCTTTTGATTTCTCCATAAGGATCTTTTTAGCTTGCCTGTGCCCTCCTTTTGAAGTCCAAACTTCTTTATGTGACCCAGAATGACTTGGTTTTTGCTTATTTGTCCAGCCTTGTCTCTCGCTAACTTCCAGATAGTACTCTTCCAATGAACTGCATTCACTCCTAGGAAATCATGCTCTTGCTCATCTCAAGTCTTTGCACATGCTGTTTCCCAGTCTGAAGACACAACACCCCACCCCTGCATCTCCCAATTCCTGGTACACAAACTGCACTTCACCCAGCCAGCTTCTTTTCCTGGGTCCTCAGGCTGATATCTTCAGGGCAACCTTTCTGACACAATGCATATGGCCCAATTAGGTCCTTTCTCCTCCTGTCTTAATGTTAATGCCTAGTCAAGCCTCAACAACAACAACAACAAAAGCCTCAGGGAGATCTGGTGGCATAGTGCCTAAGGCATGTGACTGCTAACCAGAAGGCTGGCGGTTCAAACCCACCAGCCACTCCTCAGAAGGCAGACTGGGCAATCTACATCCGTAGACACTGCCTGGGAAACCCAAGGAGCGGTGGCTATGAGTCAGATCCAACTCTGAGGGCTGGGAGTTTGCTTTTTTTGTACTCAAGCCTCCAACTTCCCCTCCTCTCCTGCAGCTGAAGTATTAGTGCATGGTATAGAGTAGGTGGTAGCATAGTGGCTAAAGCACTTGACTGCTAACCAGAAGGCTGGCGGTTCAAACCCACCAGCCACTCCTCGGAAGGAAGGTTGGGCAATCCT